GTGTAGTGTATGCGGTCCAGTGCAGCGAGGACTGTCCAGACCTCTACATTGGAGAAACTAAACAGCCTCTTCACAGACGCACGACTCAACACAGGAGAGCCAGCTCCACAGGACACTTTGCACTTTGATAACAGTTTATCTGTTTTAAATTGTGCTCTACAAATAAAGATGACTTGACTTGACTTGACAGGACAAGACTCAGCGGTTCACCTCCATCTCACAGATAAGGGACACTCTTTTGAGGACCAAAATGTGCACATTTTGGACCGAGAACACAGATGGTTTGAGAGGGGGGTGAAGGAAGCAATTTATGTAAAAAGAGAAAAACCCTCTCTTAACAGAGGAGGAGGCCTCAGATTCCCACTTTCAAAAACATATAATGCAACTTTAAAACAGATTCCCAGACGGTTTTCACACCTGATGGGAACAGAGGGGCCTCGTCTGTGAATTAGAGGAACAAAGACCTACTGTTTTAGGTTTTAGGTGTGAACTGCCAATATACATATATGTGTGTGTGTGTGTCTTATGTGTGTGTGTGTCTTATCTCACTCAGCCTTATAACCTGTATCTCTCACTCTCTGCTCTTTGAATTGAGAAAGCTCCTGGGATGAGGAGCGAAACATCTTCTGTTACAAATAAAGTCCAGTTGTTTTTGTATTGAACGCTTTTTGAATTCATCATGTCCTGGATGACTGAGAATCTTCACCAGCATATATATATGTAGTGAAGCAGGGACTGCTTTGCTGTAGCTTCACTACTAATTAATTATTCTTAAAGCTAGTTCAAGCACAAAGAATATTAATTATTTAAATACAACGGATTCTTTCTTTTTCGAGTTAAATTAATGCCATGTGACCGAGATAACTGTGAGGATTGTTGATTCAGTGACATGAGACACCATTTTTCTTTGACCCATCAGAATAAATGCAGTCATTTATTTAACAGAATCAAAATTTAACATCAAGACATGTACACATTGATTTGCTGATCTGGTTCTGATTAATAAAAATTTGGCATGCTTTACTAACAAGACAACAGAACATTTCTGAAGGCATCTAGATTACTGGCAAAATAGAAAAGTTTAAAGGAAGGAATGGAGAAGTTTAAAGAAGATGGATGAAGGAAGATGTATGTTGTTGACCAGAATTAGAACACTTCTTTCAACACCAGCTCAAAACCCCGGTCCGCTTAGTGCGCGACACTCTCTTTACCTTTGCTGTTGATGGACAGCTCCAGTATAGAGGTCCCTTCGCACGCAGTGTCTCTGGTCAGGGTGGCTGGTCATCGTCAGAAGTCGTGTGGTTTTACTCTGTCCAACAGAACAAGCTTCCTTTGAAGTTGTAGGGCGTTACGCCCGGGTGAGTTCACAGCGAGGCGCTGTGACTCCAGCTGGGATGGACGGACCCTCGTCTCACGGTCAAATCCATCAGCTATTGATTAAATCTGAAAGTTCCTTAGGAACTCTCAGTAAAACTTCAGTCAGAGATTCCACTCAGAAGTGGAAGACTCCATGAAAGACTCTAGGAAGACTCCGGTCAAAGACTGAAGGAGACTGAAGACTCAGAAGACTGGATAGTTCTATGAAGTGTTGACTTTTAAAGAGTACTCACTTCCGGTCTAGATGTACTTCCTGATTGGTTGAAACAACCAACAGGGGGGTGTTTCAGTATTTGTCAGAGGGTTATTAAAAGTCAAAAGAGGATGCAGGAATGTTTAGGAACGATTAGTACAGACAGAGAAATGTTTTGAAGAATTGAGAGGAAGCAGATGCCAGTTGCTTCTTATTTACCGTCTGCTAGGTTTAAAAACAAGACACTTTGTTCTAATAACTCGTTTTCTGACAATCTCTGACTTTCGACCGACATCACTACTCCTCATTCAGACAGAAGATCAAAATGCATAATTACTTTGTAAATAGACATTAAACATGATTTCTAATTTCTAATGAGGTTTAAAAATCATTAATACTGTTTCACAGTTGATTTAAAATGAGTGGTTCACTTCAACATTTAGAAATGGTATGAACTAAACACACTTTGATTATCAAAAAGAAGAGTGTTCTTTTAATTGAGTAATTTAGGATACAATTAAACAGTCTCTTGATGAGATAATTTGTATTTCTGGATTCAAATCAATGAAATAACAGTTCCTGTCCCATGAAGGTCTTCAGAGACAGGTTGTTGTTGGAGGCCTAGTTCACTACATATATAACTATATATATATATATATATATATATATATATATATATATATATATAT